GCCATGGAAGAGAAGGAGGATTGACCTACATGAGTTGGACAGAGAAGAGGACTATGAGGAGCACAAGGAGGACGAGCTGGTCGCGCAGAAAGAACGAGATCGACGACAAGGGTGGCTACAGACCACCAAGGACCAGCGAGTGGCCATACGACGCCTGCACACCATGATGGGCCACTGTTCCAACCAGGCACTCATTCGACTTCTACGAGCATCCATGGCGGACAAGAAGGTGATCACGGCAGCTCAACACTTCAGGCGCCCCAGTTGCGACGAGGTCAAGAAGGTTGAGCAACCACGTGAAACCCGACCTCTACGGCCAGATCACCAACTCAGGTTCAACTACGAGGTGTCCATCGATGTGTTCGAGGTGCATGACAGCAGAGGAGGCCGTCACGCAATCCTCAGCATGGTGGACATGGCTACCCGCTACCACATTGCAGTTCGGGTAGGTGGAGGTGGAACTCCCTCATCTCATGTCTGTGCCGAAGCCCTGAACCTCGCTTGGATCACCCCTTTTGGAGCCCCAACGGTGTTGGTGAGTGATCAAGGCGTTCACAACAGAGGGAAGCTCAACAGTCTTCTACAAGGGCATGGCGTTGAGGTGAGGAGAACAGGAGTTCAGGCAGCTTTTCAACTTGGGACTGGCGAGTGCCCAGGGTGGCATTCTGAAGGAGATGATTATCCGGGCGATCCACAACAAACAACTATGGGGAGCCGAGATGATTTCCGCACTTTGCGCAGAATCGGCACGCACCAAGAATGTCATGCTGAACAGCTCTGGCTATTCCCCTGCACAATGGGTCCTTGGACAAACTCCAGAAGATGCCACAAGCCTCACGGGACAATCCTTTGATGCCAACATGGGCGCACATCAGAAGCTCGTGGACTTGGAGGAGGAGCCGCCTACTCAGGAGACCTTCATGCTGCAGCTGTTGATGAGACAGGCTGCAAAGGAGGCCTTTGTCCACGTTGACTCTTGCAACAAGGTGCGCAAGGCATTGCTGAGGAAGAGCGTCCCTATGAGAGGCCCTTACCGAGTTGGAAACCTTCTTAACTTCCACCGCAAGGGCAAATGCTATGGACCAGCCAGGATGCTGGGATATCAAGGGACTTCATCAATCTGGGTACTACATGGAGGAGTGACACTATTGGTGCCAGAGACATCATGCCGTCCCGCATCTGCAGAGGAGATTCACAAGAAGAACATCCTGGAGCTGCGCCCCAGTCGCAAACGAGGACGAGCTGGTGGCGGAGGATGATGAGCTCTACTTGGAGGACTACATCCCCTTTGCAGCGGACGGAGATGCAGCCCGACATCTACGACCACGATATGAAGGACAAGCACCCTTCGTGGACATTTTGGACGCAGATTTTCCAATCCCTGATGGGACCAACGACGGAGTTGACTCTGGAGTGGCTGCTAACCCAGGACAACTTCCACAACAAGCTGAGCCGGTGGTGCCGCATGACGTTCCAGTTCCGGGTTCACAACAGAGGGAAGCTCAACAGTCTTCTACAAGGGCATGGCGTTGAGGTGAGGAGAACAGGAGTTCAGGCAGCTTTTCAACTTGGGACTGGCGAGTGCCCAGGGTGGCATTCTGAAGGAGATGATTATCCGGGCGATCCACAACAAACAACTATGGGGAGCCGAGATGATTTCCGCACTTTGCGCAGAATCGGCACGCACCAAGAATGTCATGCTGAACAGCTCTGGCTATTCCCCTGCACAATGGGTCCTTGGACAAACTCCAGAAGATGCCACAAGCCTCACGGGACAATCCTTTGATGCCAACATGGGCGCACATCAGAAGCTCGTGGACTTGGAGGAGGAGCCGCCTACTCAGGAGACCTTCATGCTGCAGCTGTTGATGAGACAGGCTGCAAAGGAGGCCTTTGTCCACGTTGACTCTTGCAACAAGGTGCGCAAGGCATTGCTGAGGAAGAGCGTCCCTATGAGAGGCCCTTACCGAGTTGGAAACCTTCTTAACTTCCACCGCAAGGGCAAATGCTATGGACCAGCCAGGATGCTGGGATATCAAGGGACTTCATCAATCTGGGTACTACATGGAGGAGTGACACTATTGGTGCCAGAGACATCATGCCGTCCCGCATCTGCAGAGGAGATTCACAAGAAGAACATCCTGGAGCTGCGCCCCAGTCGCAAACGAGGACGAGAGCTGGTGGCGGAGGATGATGAGCTCTACTTGGAGGACTACATCCCCTTTGCAGCGGACGGAGATGCAGCCCGACATCTACGACCACGATATGAAGGACAAGCACCCTTCGTGGACATTTTGGACGCAGATTTTCCAATCCCTGATGGGACCAACGACGGAGTTGACTCTGGAGTGGCTGCTAACCCAGGACAACTTCCACAACAAGCTGAGCCGGTGGTGCCGCATGACGTTCCAGTTCCGGAACCCGAGATGGACGACTTCGAGATCAACACACCTACGGAGATTGCCGAGTCCATCGTGCGACCACCATCAATTCTCAGTGATCTGAGCAGCCAACCGGAGATGGAAGAGAGCCCGGAGACCACTGACAGGTCTGAAGTGACTTCCCCCCATCCAGCAGGACCACCTGTGGCCTTGGGACCGCCACAACCACCACCAGGACTCCAACAAGCATCTGAACCTACTCCACTGACGAACGCGATGCGAGTGAGCCCTGCGAGACTGGATGGAGACCCACGTGCCTATCACTCAGAGGAGGAGATCACAGCCTTGAAGAAGGAGAAGGATATGATCGCTTTCTTGGCCAGCAGGAGAGCCAAGCAAGTAGCGACCCGGACAAGGAGATTCCAGAAGAAGAACCCGAAAGCAGGAGCCGGCAGAGAAGTCACCTACGAGAAGGAGCCGCCGGACATCCAGGAGAAGATGCGTGCAGCGCGAGAGAAGGAATGGGCCAATTGGCAGAAGTACACCAATGGCAAATGGATCACTGAGGCAGAGTTCCAAGAAGGATCCAAAGCTGAAGGCCATTCCAACGCGCTGGGTGGAAACAAACAAAGCTGAGATTGGAGAGCCAGCAGTGATGAAATCAAGGATTGTGGTGAGAGGCGATTTGGAGGACTCTTCCAAGATGAGGACTGACTCACCAACTGTCAGCCAGGTGATGATCGCCACCACCATGTGCCTTGCAGCCTGCCGCGACACTGACGTTTGGGCGGGCGACATCTCAGCGGCATTTCTTCAAGGCTCCACCATGGACAGAATCCTGGTCCTCAAGATGCCCAAATTTAAGGTCTACCCGGAGGAGATCCACCAGGTGATTACTATGTGGTGACATCCACCATCTACGGAACCAAGGATGCGCCCAGAGGCTGGTACAAGAACCTTCATCAGACGATGATTCAGAAAGGCTTCAAAGCAGTTCCACATGAAGCTGCAGCCTACAGCCTGGTGAACGACAAGGGCGAGCTGGAGGGTTTAGCAATTGTTCACGTGGATGATTTGCTATGGACCGGAGGAGCCGAGGTGGGGAGAAGAGTGCGAGAAGTTTGCGATGTGTATAAGTTTGGCAAGGTGGAGAAGAACGTCTTCAAGTACTGTGGACGTGACGTCGTCAAGGACAAGGATGGAATCCACATCACGTGCCCGAACTTGATCGACCGCGTTCGGCCCATCTACCTGACGACTGAGGAGCGCAAGAAGAAGGAGGCAAAGATCACGGAGGTGCATCGACAACAACTGAGGAGTATCATTGGATCTCTGGCATGGCTGGCACGCGTATGCCGACCCGACTTGGCCTACGCGGTGAGCAAGCTTCAGTCCAACGTGCACACTGCCACCTTCGAGGACATCCGCTATGCCAACACGGTCATTGCCATCGCCCACAAGACCAAGACCGCGGGAATCCATTACCCTCTTCGAGCATTTCGCTTCGAGGATGCGGTGATCATTGGATTACAAGATTCAAGCTTTGCCAACGACCACGACGTGAACTCCGAGGGCAAGAAGCTGGGATTCCGCAGCCAGAGCGGAAGACTTTTATGTCTTGGACCTCCTGAGTTCAAAGAGACGAAGCAGGGACAGTTGCTGCTACTGGATTGGCACAGCGTCACTATCAAGCGCGTGTGCCGCTCAACGCTTCAGGCAGAAGCTATGTCCCTGATCTCAGGTCTGGAGGAGGCAGAACATGTGAGGATGATGATTCATGGACTATGTCATCCACAAGGACGAGACGGACGACAATGGCAAATCGATGCGATGGATGGCAGGAACATCCAGCTCTTCACGGACTGCCGGAGCTTGGAGGAGAGTGTGAACCAAACAGGTCTTCACACTGTCGGAGACAAAAGGCTGGCGATCGACCTGAGTGGAGTGAGGCAAGGCTTCAAGGAGAAGAAGTCGGCGACCCTTTGCTGACGGACCATCTGCCTGCCAATGGAACTACGACCCTGGCTTGGGTGAACACGGAGAAGATGGCGGCAGATAGTCTCACGAAGAGCATGAAGCCAAAGACGCTTACCCATGTGATGGCAGGCGAATGGATGGATTTAACTCCAAAGAAAGATAACGAATGTGAAAACAGTGACAACATGGTGCATTGTAGATGAAATCCATCCTGCCGCATGTCATCTCATGGCCCTTTCATTTTGCCCATCCATGCTGGATGGCTCAAGCACAGCGACATCTGTCAGCAGTGTAAAAGTAGCACTTGGGAACTTGCATGCACTTGCTTTTTCACTTGTGTTTTGGCCACCAATTCCGCAATATGAAAAACATGACATGTTTAGTTTTTTTCCAATTTCCCTCTTCTCCCCTACAAACAATACGTTGAACTATTTGACAACTGCACAAGATTACACATGTTATTTTGATGCAACAGACTTGACATTCAAAATGCAGATGGTCTCATGGACATGATATTCTGTGCTTACAGAGCCACTCCCGATAGTTTCAGAAGCATCTTCATTATAGTTTCCGAAGCATGTCCCCCTTCCCGAAGCATGCGTTGAATGTTTCCGAAGCATAGTTAGCTGCTGCAAGTCGCAGGCCTTGACCACAAGGAGCGCAAGGTCGCTGCCCAAGAGCTTGGCCAGGAAATCAGGGTCGAGGCGCAATGGTGATGTGATCATCTATTGATGGTAGCCTCTGATATACAAAAAGCTATGGAAAATCACCATCTTTAAAAACACGAAATCAACGAACTAAATGGGCAATTTTCAATCGCTATGTTAAATTACCAGAGGGTAGATGGTGCTGTCTCTGACTTGACTTCAGTGTTCACGGCATTTCACGGTCTGCCAGCTCAGTGCCAAGCGTGAGTAGCTAAGTTGCCCAATCTTTGTTATTTCCAAGACATGATGATCGCCATGAGGTCAGAAGGCCTAAGTTTAGCAGTGTTACGGGGTTAAACGCTGAGAGGTAGCACAGGGTTAGCGTGTTGTTGCAAGGAGCAAGGCGTTCGAACTCGTTTGAGATACAATGTTCCCATGGGTCTGAAAGTCAACTTAAGATTTGGACCCAGCTTTTCTCAATGCCCATTTGTGACGGCATCGACCTGTAGGTCTCTCAGTAAACGATTTCATTTTTCCACAGGTTTGTGAATGTTTTTACTTCCCGGAGTACGGAGCGTTCAGTTGTTTATTGGTCTGGAACCCGCATGTATCAGAATTGGTATATATCTCTGGAAGGCTGCGGCTACAAAGGCTCTTACTTTTCAATAAATCGGTGCTGATTTTTAATGGTAACTAGAGCACAAAGTGCCTTGCCTCCCACTACTGTCTCTCTTCGTTATTGCCCCTTTTGAGCGCTTTTGTGCTCTCTTGCTTGCCGCTTCCAGCCTGTCTCTCTGTATAGTCTGTATAGTTTCCCTTTGTGACTGTGCGCATATGGTCAAACCAGAGCCGAACTCGGTTGTTTGAGAACTGCTATCTGAGGTCTATGCTGCTGCAATTCTCTATTCTTTGAAACTAATTCGCTATCAAACTGCTGGCACAGCTTGGAATCTGTCCAGTTCGTTGCTTAATGGTGCATTCGTCGCCAAATAGCTTCAGCTCGCACATTCTCGCTTCTCAATTTTTTCCCTCTCTTGTATACCTTGCAGGCAAGCATCTCAAAGCCGATGGCAATAACGAACTCTAAGAGACATGCATTTGATGGCAGAACATATCGCAGGATATCAAACCAGATTCCAATCAGGGACCCAATGGGATCTATAATTCCGGAAGCCAGTGGATTCCTTATTACAATAAAGAGAAGCCTGAATCAAAATTGACCAAAGTACCAAAGTGCTTTGGGGTTTCGAAGTTTCAAGTGCAAAGGAAAGGCTGACAATGTAGATAGGCCAAAGCACGTGCAGTGCTTGGCCGCGTTGTAGTCATCTTCAAGTGTTGGGAAAGCTGGTCGCAAGAAATGTTTCCAATAGCACTTGAACCTTTCAATTAACAGCCCAAAGCTCTGACCTACATCAAACACACCAGGAACAAAGCCATGCTCACTGATGACGTCGATCATGAAGAATGCCCATGGAGTGTACTCAGACAAGTAACCAGATGCCTTTCCCCAATGTGAATCATGTATTGATGAGACAATGATGTTTTTAAATCTGTGAGGAAGTTTACGCTGTCTAGGGAACACAACATGACTCACATCAGCAGGCATTCTCGCTTCTCAATGAACCGGTCGCTGATTCTTGATCTTGGCTGAAGAACAACTCTGTCGTACAGTCTCCTACTGTCTCTCTCGGGTGGGCTCTTGGCAGCCCATGCAAAACAAAAGCCCACAACATTGTGGATTTTGTCATCCCTGAGTTCTGTTTGTCCTCAAAGCGTGGCACTTTCGAGCTGAGAGATTCTGAGTCGAGCATGGAGGGTGAGGAAGGAGTTTTACCTAAAGTTTCTGTACTTGCGGTGATAATGAGATAGAGAGAAGTAAAGAAAGAACCGAGTACAGTAAATAGTGCGGTTTGCAGTTGTTGCGTTTGATGTGTGTGCTTGACTGTTCGCATGTCAATTGGAAAGCGATTTTGTTCCAGCGGGGAATCCCATCCCGACTTCAGGTAGGAACGCTACCGTCAAAGAGCACGAGTAGACCTGTATTCCACAGCAACACGCTCTACAAGGAGCAAGCGGCAATATTTAAGAGCAGGGGAACCCGGAAAGGGAGCAAAGCAAAGAGATCAAAGAGTGAAGCAGGATCAAGAATCGGCAAAGAAGCTGCTGTGAGCCAACTAGAATAGTCTAGATCGGTCTGGATCGGCGGAGACATGTTTTCCCAACCCTTTCTCCACTTCTCTAAGGACTCCTCGAGCAGGATGAAGAAGAACTCCTTAGGACGTTTTCTGAAGAGGCAGATGTCTTTATCGACGACGATGACCATCACAATATGGAGAAAGGGATTGTCCAGTCAAAGAAATGGAGCATGGTGGCCATACTTCTCAATCACGTTGGTGGAAGCTCAGCTATGCTTGGATTTTTGCGATCACCACGGCCTTTATTTCCAAAACCATATGTTTATTTTACCGGTTTAGAGTTTAGACAGACATGTACAGTACGCAGCTAAAGACTCCGATGATCCGGTTCCTTGGGCTGTGGCACAGCGCACCAAACTTTTAGTGAAATGGTGTTCCACCGGTGTCCATTTTATAAATCCAAGAATCCATACATCCGCAGCCCTGCCTAGTCCAGGAGCAAATGTGAACTATTGTGGCCTCACAGAGAAGATTTTTGTGGAGGAACTCTTTCCCAAACTCAAAAAGGAACTCGGTTTGACATATTTGAACCTCAATGACAACCGGGGCCTCTGCGAGACGCAGGCCCGTCGTGGATTTTTTGGTGGCACCACTCGCTGGCAATGCCTTTTGGGAAAAGGTTCTAAGGCATTGTCACATACCATAGCTGCCATAGCTCCTTAGACTTTTTGACCCTTAGGGTTGCAGTTCCGGAACAAGAAGGGTGAAAACATGTGAAAACCATGGAGGGTTTCGAGCCTTGCGACCAAAACCGCAAGAAGCCACGTTGGTGTGCGCTTTCCAATCTCTTCCAAATTTCAGAACTCTTCGAAGCAGGAATGATGCTAACGCCTAACATTGCCTAACGTCTATCTTATAGACCTATACAGAAGAAATCAATAAACATCAACATCCCCACATGTTTGCGACAAAAAACGGCCAAAACCACAGAAGCTCTCTCTGCACCAAAGCCGCCAAAAACTGTTTTCAACACCTTTCGAAACAGGTTATAATAGCTCTATTTTGAAACTTTAATTATCTTTAATTATTAATATTTACTGTACTGCCAACAATATTTTCCACATGCCATGGAGATGGAGAATTCCCACACGCTAAACCCACAGAGGGCTTCCAGGCTTTGAAACCAAAGCCACATTTTCAATGTGTTCAGCACCCCTCGAAGCAGGCTTGATGCCAAACCTCCTGTGTGAAACCGTAAAGATGCCAAAAAAAAAACGTTCTCCACACGTTTTCGATCTTTTGAATGTTTTCGATCAAAAAAATGACAAAGCAACAGATTCGAGTGTTCTCAGGCATTGAAACCCCTTCGAAGCGGGAATAGACCTGCGGAACGCCACGTGTCAAACTTGAAGAAACGCGCCGTAACTTTCTCACCCTCCAAACGTGCTTTGAACAAACAACAAACTATTTGATGCGTTTTCCCGTGCTGTTGAAACCGTTCGAAGCAAGAATGATGCCTATAGTTACTAAATTTACCCCATTTGCATCCATTTACCCCCCTTGCACCTGGGGTGAATGGCGGTTCCATTCAGGGGGGCCCGCGCCAGGATGGAGTGAGTAAATTGACGACCTTTATGAAACAGTGTCCACGGTTGAAGACCTTGAAGTTGAAACGCAGCATTGCAAATGAAGTCCTTTGGCAGCGAAGCAGTCAGCCAGCTCACAGGTTTACTGTCAAAATCTTACTTAGGTATACTTAGGTGGCAGTTTCCTTATTTTATTGCACTGTGTGTGTGTGTGAGAGTGCAGCCATGCCATTGGAATATAACCCATTTGTTATCGCCGGAAACTTGACAAGAGTATCAAAACACCAAGTTCCGAATTGTGCTGCTGCTACCCAAATTCAAATAAATTCGAAAGCGTGAGGGTAGCCCTGTGCAAGTGTATTTCCCTTTTGAAAGGGCATTGGTCTTCTGATGTTTGCTCTGCAACATTGTCCTGTGAACACTGAGGACTCCAAAAAAAAGTTGCTACAGGAGTGGGCAAAACATCGCCGTGTCGATATTGCAGGATTGGAACTTGAAGATACGAAACCGTTGCTTGGTTTGTTCTTAATACGCAGTTTGACACACGTGGAAAGGTACGCAAGCAGCCATTGAATCCCTCCAGTTGCGGCTCTGAAAATAGATAAACACTAAGGACTCAAAGGACCAAGAAGTCAGAGGACACAGGCAAATCGTTTGGGGACAAGGCTAAATCATGGTCTTCTATGCCATCTGAGAGCCAAGGGGATGCTTGATAGGCGCTGTCTACATAAGTGACTTTAAAAACGATTGCATGTCCATCGTTTTAAAGTCGTGCGGGTCGCTAGCAAAGCTGCGACAAGTACTGACGACCTTGGAGGCGAAGGAAAATGAGGAGCTTTGGCACTTGTCCTTCGAGCATGTTGTCAAACACTGGTCCCAGAGGGTCCCACAGGTGAAACACGTGATAAATCGTGGGGTCTTTCAAAACGTCGTGATCCACTGTGGGATGTTTCAGCTGAATGCCCCTTCAAACGTGTGCTTTCAAACCAGATATAGCGTCTAGGTTCTGAGCACTGATTAATACATGCCATTGGCATCCATCGGCAATGAGTTGGGATTCCTCAAAATCACCAACTCTTGTTTCAGCTGCGATTTGATACATTTTATACGATGGTTTGCTTTTTCTGGTTGGATCACAGTTTGCAGCATTCCCTGCAGGATAAAATATCCGACAAGCCTTGAACTCGACGTCCTTCTATCGTGCCATGAGACTGTCGGTGGGCGGTGATTGTGGACTTTGGAGGCGCGCAACAACAGCGCCCTCCGTTCACGCGGATTTGGTGCTGTGAGGAAAGCATCACAGCGGCCTGGCAAATTGGAGGATTTAAAGTAAATCTCTGGAGTTTTGACATGTGGGGATGGGTCAAAACTATTCAAAACCTATGATGCAATATGTTCGCTTATCTTATTTTGTCTTATTTTATCTTATCTTTATAGTCATAAGACAGTGTATAAAAGTTATGAAAAGTAATCATTGATAGGTAGATTATTATGGCAGAGCAACGCACTAAGCAGTCTTGTAAAAAAATATCTTGTGCGATCAACCTAAATTTTACTTTTATTACCTTTCTTAGATAAAATGAATAATCGAGTCTTTAATTGTAAGTACTAAAACTCCTATATTATTTAGGATAGATATTGCTTGAGACAGAGAGCGGACTACCGTGGGGGGTGGAGTGGTGAAAGTATTGATTTTGCAGTTTTTTTTTGGGATATGGAAATGGTTTGCACATGAAGCCACAAATCACGACTGTCCAGAATACTACATTTTCTACAGAGATGTTGTCTCTTTCCAAGAATGCTTTATTTTTTGTTTAGCACTTTGGAAAAGAACACATGTCTATATACAATGATTTTGATGCCTGCAATGAATTCTGCATTTTATTGTTGTACATATTACCATATGTATGTATGTATGTAATGTAATGTAATGTAATGTAATGTTATGTAATGTTATGTAATGTTATGTAATGTTATGTAATGTTATGTTATGTATGTAATGTATTAATGTATGTATGTATGTATGTATGTAATGTTATGTAATGTTATGTAATGTTATGTAATGTTATGTAATGTTATGTAATGTTATGTAATGTTATGTAATGTTATGTAATGTTATGTAATGTTATGTAATGTTATGTAATGTAATGTAATGTATGTATCTATGTATCTATGTATCTATGTATCTATGTATCTATGTATCTATGTATCTATGTATCTATGTATGTATGTATGTATGTATGCATGCATGCATGCATGCATGTATGTATGTATGTATATATATAAATATACACACACACTATTTGACAAATTTATTGTTTGTTCACAATAGTTTATGTTTCTCGATAAATATGTATTTGATATTGAACACACATGAGTGCAATTTCCAGCTGCAAATTCTGCATTTTCTGAAAAGTGTTCTGCATCCTTTCATGCTGTTCATGAGTGCTTTTCAAAAAAGAACATGTCCAGATTGAACATGCACTGCACTTCTTCAAAAGATGGTTTAACTACGATTGAATCTAGACCTTTTCCAGGCATCATCTATATTTTGCCTTAAAAGCGTTGCCTTGTTGAAAAAAGTAACACACTTGCAGGGAATCAGTACACTTGTGGATGAAAGCGCAACTGAAACTTGAAAAATGTGCTTCCCGAAAAGACTGCTGTATCTTGAACAAGTTTTTTTTGAGAAGATCATGCATCTTGAAGACAACCCTGCTTTCTGCAGTGAATTGTGTACTGTACCTTTGTGAAAATGTAAAAATATAAGCACATGTTTGAAAGATTTTTTGCATGCTCTGCACAATTGCTGCCCCTTTCAAAGGAGATAATGGGCTGTAGGCTGTATTGAACAAAAATTGGCCGTATTCTCTAGCTATAGGCTGTACACTTCCTGCTAGGGGTATTGCATCCTTGAATTGCATATTGCTCATTTTTGTAGGAGTCATGTCTGACTAGTGGGAGGAGGAAGGATCCGCGTTGAAAATATTGTATATTTCAACCATACATGTTATTTGAAAGACTAGTACATCTTAGACTAGTGTTTTCAAGATATAATGCATGACTACAAGAATGTTGCTTCTTTCAACCTATTATATACATTGTACAATGAAAAGTTGAACCTTCAAAATTTTATTGAACATGTCTGTTCAAAGGAATACCAACATTTCTTCAAGAAATGCTGTATCTGTGGCATGCAAGAGTTGCCAAGAAGAATAATGGTGCATTCTACAAAATAGTATTTGCTTCTTCCAAAGGAAAACAACATTCTTCTTTAGAGGAATCTTGTCTTGTCGTGAGGGATACAATATTGCCTTTTTGCCTGTTTGAAGGAGCAAACACTTTGAGACAAACATATTTTTTGTACAACAAAGTGTTGCTTAAACAATCCATCTTTGAAAAATATATGTTTTATATTAGATATAACTTTTAGTGATTCCAGGTTTGAAGAACACGAGCCAAACCTTTAAATATGAGGAACCAAAACCTCGGCATACCAGTAAAACATCAATCCAATGGAGTGCCTGAAGAGGTGGGTGATAAAGCTGTTTTTACTGTACATTTTCTCTGATGGCTCAGTAGCCAAAATCAGTAACTCAATGAAGACATCAATATAAAATGTGGAGGGGTGAAAGCTGTGCCAATGGATGTTTGTCAGGGTGAAAATTTCCCCCAGGAGCCCAAGAAACAGGAAAACAAAAAACACAAAAAAAATGAGCAACTGATATTGTTGGACTGACACAGTTGCAAAAATCTGGAGAAAACAAATAAAAAAAACAAAAAAAAACAAAAAGCGTCGACCCATGAGAGGGTCTGAGGAGAAGCTGGACAGGTGACATGGGGTGAAACTTTTTGTTTTTTTTGTTTTTCCATGGTTTTGGACCAGCTTTTGCCTCTTTCAGAATTTGGATTGTTTGTATGAGAGTTGGTGATAGATCCAAGCTTCAGGAATGGAAGCAGATCAGCAGACAGGATGATTTTAAGCAGCGTTTCTACAATGTGCACGCCTTCACCCCCCATGATCCTCCCTTCTGATTATTTAGGATAGATATTGCTTGAGACACGTAGTGTGATTGATTGTATTTACTTCAAATGTATTATTGTTTGTTTCCATTTTGTGGTCTCTAGAGACACATTTAGTAAATCCTATTTTATTTGCTTGTAATATGCACTTTTCAAAATTAGACACGTTTTTATGTTTCCTGATAGACTGATCTCCCCTATTTGAGATGTTATTAGTGCTGCTGCAACTGCTAAATCTGCTGCAGGATCATTTGTTTTAACTCCACCTGAAACGGATATATATATATATTATACATATATATATATAGTATTATATACATCACAACCACCGAGGTTGATTTTACACCTAGTAGATAATATCTCAATCAACATTGCTAATCTATTGCTTTCCCACCCTATCGCTGTTCTTTTTGGTATTGGTAGATAAGAACTAGATACCAATACTTGTATTTCCACTGGTATTGCCCTTGATCCTTCTATTCCCATAAAAATACTAATTCCAGGTACGTTAGTATGTTTTTCTGATAAAAATATTTGTGATGGGTTGTTTACTTCCTTTAATCCATCTAATTTCATTTCAAATATACCAATTTCATTAACAGGGCCAAATCTATTTTTGATGCTGCGTATTATCCTAAATTGATTGTGTGAATCTCCTTCAAAATAGAGCACAGTATCTACCATGTGTTCTAGTAGTTTTGGTCCTGCTATTTGTCCATCTTTAGTGACATGTCCAACAAAAAACATGCTTATATTATTTTGTTTTGCATGACCTATTAAAGCTTGGGTAACAATTTTTATTTGACTTCCAGATCCTGCAGGTGAACTGCATTGACACGAGGTAATTGTTTGTACGGATAAATGCGCCATGGGCTCTCTTGGCTGTGCCTAAGTTAATGATGAGTTCATCGGACCTAGACACAGGTTCATGTTGTTTTCTGCAGTTTTTTGCATGCCAGAATTTCCGTTTTGAACCCACGGGCAAGGGGGCCATTCCAGCCGATGCCTAGGTGACATCGCACTGTGCGTCTACAGTTATTGCATCATGTCGGATGGCAGCATCGGCGTGTATGACGAGTGTGATGGCTGGGATCCCGTAAGAGGAATGCCGCCGCCGAGCGTTTGAAACAAACTGACGCACGAAAATGGGGTTCAAAATCGGTCGTTTGTTTTTGTTCGTTGTTCGGGTTTGGGCTGCCTGCTTGCCCAGCTTGGTTGGACTAGACCTTACAAAAATCCAAAACCGAAGTTACCTACTACATTCTTGAAGACCGTTGTTTACCTTAGTTCTTGCAGAAAGACGATGTTTCCTCAGCAAAACCACAGTTTGATTTCCCACTGGCGTTCCAGTCTTTCACTTTTGCTGACCATTTCAGCCATCCGCCAAAGGAAGGTTTTAAATCCCACTCGATACAGCCGTGAGATCTTATACTTTCTGTTCTTGCGAGATTTGCGGATGACAAAACTTATCGACGGACCTGGGATTCTCCGAACTCATCACATCCTGTGTGCGCCTGGACCACTGCTGGGCTCAAGAATCCATTCCAACGTGATTGCACCATAGCCTACGTTTTGAGATTTCATTGGCAGCCAGAACATGCTTTGAGTTAAGACAGTTGCCATACATCTGAGGTTTGCAACCATGACAGGTTGCGTTTAGTCACCGTGATGTGCAAGATGATTCTCTTGTCGGGCCGGAACCTCAGCGAAACCACTGCTGTCACTTTTGTCACTTGTCATTTTGATCTTTTGCGATCACTCTGATTTGATGTGATCTGATTGATTTGATCATGTGGCATGTTCAGGTCCAGCACAACCCTTTATTGATAATATAGACTACCGGGTCTTAAGGGACACCCCATCCGGGGCTTGTCAGATGGATCGTTCCAGGATTGTTACATTCGGCCATGACTCGGCAACCATGGACCAATATGGACCATGGAAGCAAATGAGTGTAAGTCCGCTGCTCTTTGTTTTGCATCCACTTGTGTACTCATACAACCCAAGCAGCAGCAGTATGTTTTAGGCCTAGGATGGCCTAGGTGCGTGAGACCAAAAAAACAGCCGGGGGTCCATGTTTTGGTGGGATCGGCAAATCTAGTCTTGTTTCTTCCAATCCAAAGAAGACCAGCATGGTCTTTTCCAGGATTTTTTTCCTGTGATGTGGTAAACCCAATACTAAACGTTACCATATTATATTTGGAGGGGGTGGTTGGTGCCGCCATAGATACCACTGCCTTTTGTTGCATCTTTTGCCAGCTGCTCAAAACACGTCCAGCCCAAAGCCTTAGGGCAGAAACGAAGCGGTGCCGACTGATGGCACCATGGTTTGCGAGGCAGCAGCCATATTTTCAGTGGCTTGGCGGCCTAGGCCTGGGTGTGTAAAACCAAAAGACAGCTGGGCATTCTCCATGTGTATTGCTGTGGGGTCGGCAAGACAAAACTGGTTTCCTCCAATCTGACTGACAAAGACTAGCATAGTCTTTTCCGTGTTGTTTTTGGGGTCAACGCCCCGAGGCGGGCGTGGTTTTTTCCACGTTTGTGCTCTTTGGCAGTATACGTGTTTAACGCTCTTGCCGACTGTAAGATGAGGCTACCGAAGACACGTTGCCCAACTTTGTTGCTGACGTCTTGCTACCTTGACCGGGAGGGGGTGTGGGGGGGGGGATGATAACGTTCCTTTCGACTGTAAGATGACGCTACCGAAGACACGTTGCCCAACTTTGTTGCTGACGTCTTGCTACCTTGACCGGGAGGAGGGGTGGGGGGGTGGGGGGGGGATGATAACGTTCCTTTCGGCTGTAAGATGACGCTACCGAAGACACGAGCACCAGTGGCTGTATCTTCTAGGTGTCTCGTTAGCACTTATGTTTGGCTTTAAGCTTTGAGCACCTGTGCAAACACACACACACACATATATATATATATTTATATTTATATATATTACACATATTGCTAGGTTCATTTACAACATACATTTATCAACACGCATGTTTTTATATACATGTATGTTTACATTATATATATATATATATGTGTAAAAGGTATTTTATATCTATGTATTTATATCAAGCAGATGTTGCGGAATTGCAAAAGTTTTTTTTTGCATTTTGACATCTTGCAGCAAACGTCAAAACATCATAGATCACAAGCATAAAATACTGTAAATTACAGTGCAAAAAGGTGATTTTTGATGCAATCACCAAGTACACAATTGTAGAAAACCCACACCCGCCTCAAGGCGGTGTTCCCTTGTTTTTCCCGCAATGTGGTAAACCATGGTAAACCCAATACTAAATTAAAACATCTTTACTATTGCCAGAAATAGGTGCGATTCCAACCATTCAAAGGTGGAGGTTTATGGCCTTGGTTTTCCCATCTGGGCCATCATCGTGGCCGCCATCGTGGCCTCAGGATGTCCAAGGGCAAGGGCTGGGGCAAAGGCACCCAAGGGACCCAAGGGACCCAAGCGACCCAAGCGACCCACTACCACAGCCCAGGACTGGGTTGCAGCAGTTGTGAAAAATTGTGGCAGGTGAGTGAAATGGTTTGCCTTACCCCAAATGTATTGTAGTTGGAATGGATAAAAACCCTTCAAAAATTATGATTCTCCTATATTTTCCATGAATTTTGGGGGGTGGTGATCCATAAATTTCTGTTGTTTGTTGCGCTTCACCACCAGGCGACTCCTCTATAGTTTTGCACTTAGATTAACATAGATAAAATAACACAGATTCACAGATCAACTAATGTCATAGTCATAGCATGTTGGAATAACTATTTTGAAAGATATAAAAAAACTCATTTGAAGTGCTTCAGCCTCCTATCGAAAGTGAACCCTCATCCCCAGCCATTGGAGGCAGCGCAGATGGCTGGACAACTGGAACAATTCGACGTCTTTTTGTCGGGAAAGGCGTGGAATCACGACGCCTGTTGGTCTAAACTGCCAAGTATAATCCAATAAGATGTCCAAGGCATACATTTTCTCATCACAACTCTCCAAATCTTCCGAAATTTGAAGTTCCACATGTTCTGGTTTCAAATGCGTGTTTTCGTTGCGATCTGAAGATTTTATCTTGCTTTGACTGGCTGTGTATAGTGAAAACCTTGACCTATTGGGAAATCTCCCTGAACCGCACTTCCCAGGCTTTGGATTTATTTCACGTGATGATTTGCCAAGCAATTCGGGTCGCGGCGATGTGTTTTTACATTTCTCGGATTTGGCGTCTTGGCGATCAACCAATGATCCCGGGAAGGGCTGCCTGTGGCCTGTTCAGGTCTCCAGTTGCGGGTGCTTTGTGCATGGTTTGGTTTTTGTCAGATGGTCAGACGGTTGAAGGTCTTGGAAATAAATCAGCAGTGAATGCGGAGAAGAGAAATCGAAAGGATAGACATCTTGGTATTTGGAAGGTAATGCAAGGTATACCGAACCAAAAACCATTCCACCTAGACTGTTCCTGCGGGCATTATTGGCAAGCATTGTCCCATGGATTCGATTTTTAATTTTGATGTTCGGTTGAGTTTGTATATCTCTTATGGACCATTGCTGAACCATTATAAACAACAATTCACCACTATGAACCACTATCACTATCAATCACTAGTAACATCTATGAACCAGTTTTGACATCATCTATTAGTCTATGAACTACTAATGCACAGTTAACATCGTTTAACATCCATTAACACCTATTAGCCATAACATGCCATAACCACTATTAGTCACTATAAGCATCTATTGATCCCCTCTCCCCAAATAAACACCTCAGCTAGTTTTTATTATTAGGGGATATTGATTATTAGGGAACTTTATTAATAATTTTGAAACATTTATATATCCGATTTCAAAATTGATTAAATTTCCTTATATAACGCAATTCAATATTGCCAAAAATTGGATTTGGAAGCGGAACTTTTTTAAAAATTTAAAGCCTTAATAATAAAAACTATGTTTCCGATTTCCCTATATAACGCAATTAAAATATCGCCAAGAATTGGTTTTCGAAGTGGACCCTAATAATAAATTAAAGGCCCTATAATATAAAAAACAAAAAAATCGGACGGACCCTAGTAATAAACACCCCGCGGCTGACTAGTTTTTATTATTAGGGGGCAAAACCCACAAATGGTAGTTTTATCTTTAAATTGTTTTCTAAAGGGGAGCAATTAAAAGTCAAATTGGCCAATCTGAAATTTTCCAAAATTGGAGATGGACCCGAGTTTTTATTATTTGGGGGGGGTTAGTAATAGGGGGAAGGGATTAATGATTTCAAGGGCTACCTTTGGAGATCACATCATCACCTCCTCCGCCCCGTGCCTAGGAGGCTGGTGTAACATCGGGCGACCTCTCTGTTGGCTTGCGCATGAAGTTTCAATGGGAGGCCGGGAGGGCGTGAAGGATCTGAACTGCGATAGGTCTTTGTTGAACTCAATGTTTGTGAAGAAAATTGGTGACTAAGTAGCCATTGGTATTGTGGTTAATGATGGTTGCAATGGTGATGGTTGATGGTTCTTGGCAGATCATTTTGATAGCCACGATATCTCATGATATCTCGGAACTCCAAACCTTCCTCAGTTACCAGCACAGTTCAATTGCGCCCGAAACGGACAAAAGTGTAGTTTCATAGTTTTTGTGTTTTGACAAAAAGCGAGTCTCCATATTTGATGATTAAATTTGTATCCACATGTGTTAATGGCAAATCCCCCAGAATTCAAAGCCTTTTGGAAGATGATCCCTTCAGGCTTTCCTGTAGCCTGCAGGCGGCCCGCGATTCGCGCGGACCTGGCGGCCGCGCCCGGATGGTGTCCTTTGCGGAGAGCGGCACCTTGGCCGAGGTCAAAATGTGGAGACATCCGTGGCATTCCCAGATTTTCAGAGGGTAAGTGCTGTCGGAAAATGTGGATGTTTTTAGACTATCGTCAGAGGAAGTATGTAGCAGAGAAGTATGAGTGAGCACGTATACAAGTCAGGGAAGAAAGGATGCTACCGCGTAAATGTCATGTCTTTGCTATACCATCAAGATATATCAAGATCAAAATAATTCAAAATAGATAGATTTACGGACTCGCTGTCATGTTTTAAGCCACGGGACTTTTTTGGGGGGATAATCTAACATATAGCCATTGAATGGCCAATCATTGGGGTTTCTCAGATCCCTTTTTGGCCTCGACGAATCTCTGAGTTGGTTGAAGCATGGTTCTGACCATCGATTCCTGGTTTCCTATTAAGAAAGCCTTGAAACCAGTAGTAGGATTCCATCTTTTGAAGTAAAAACAAAATAGATCCATATACAGATTATACAGGACTCTAATTTTTGACCTTAAATATGTTGGGAGTTTCCCCTAAATTTCTGTGTAGGCCATGACTAGTCAAGCGAGGCTCGCCCACATCCGTGACTCCTGTTACGACGCCGATCAAGCGCCGTGCTGTCCGCACTGGCAGAGTGACTTGGATTTAATTTGATGAGTTTTTTGATATGCTTTCCGGATTAGGTACTACTTGGAGAAGTTTGGTCGGAAGTTGAAATGATTTAGTTTGGATCATCATACATCAAATTTGGAAATTCGATGAATTTTGACACTTATTCAACTAATTTCAACTACATATGTTGCTGCTGTGACTATGATATTGTGATTGGCTGGGCACAGCAACTCTGTCAAAGGGCAGGCCTTTTGATTTGATTTGCTGAATGGATTCCAGCGATTTACAGTGCAAATTCACCACTGTGACCATTGATATTCTATGGGTATCCCATGGTATCCCTCCACTTTCCCAAAGATTGTAGTCCATGATGTGCTGATAGGTTTATCGCAAAGATTTGTTGCTGGCCATGCAACAGCAGCTGCAGACAGCTGGGGAATTCGAGGAACGAAGGCGAGGATCATGATGCAGAATGATGTAGACATGTTTCTGAGTTCGAGAAATCAAAAGTTTGATGTGGTTTTATGATGTTTTATGATTTTTCATGTGGTTACAGTTGTAGAGGCTAATGCAGGCATGCTTCTGTGATCTTCTGTGTATGAAAACTCACTAACAGGCCATTTGGCAGTCGATCTAAGCTGGGCCCCTTGCCTTCGAAGATCGTCTTTCCCTTCACCATTCAGCTTCCCAAATGGTATTGGGACGCCGAAGACGAGCGTTCCTCGGCTGGGTCATCCCATGGCTGACCAGGTAAATCATCTAGAAATCGGCAATTTATCATGATTTATCATGATATAGTTCCCCATGATATCTTCACAATATCCTCATGATAATCCATTATACCGTTATACAGCATGTCATACCACCATTTCCCATGGACTCTCATCCTTTTGGTTTTAAAAAAATTGCCATAATTAGGGAGTTCATCCACCATTTCTGGTCGCGGTGTCGCAACATCAATGAGGTGCTCTTGCAGAAGCAAATGATGTGCAGCGCGTACAGTTCTTGGAAGCACGCTTGGATACTGGGCTGTGGATTGAACTGAACTTCAACCTAGATCCTCCAGTCGTGGGTTTGTCTGAGATAGGGTAATAACTTCAAATGGCCTTCAAATAATAAGGGAAAATGAGGTTCATTGGTTCATTGGATTTGGGGAGACCCTTTTCAGACAAAGCCAAGTACCTGAGTACCTTTGTTATTGGGGTAATTTGATATGATATAATATACTTGTGTTTAGTCGAACATCTTACGTACAAAATACCTCTGGAAGCGAAACATGGCAAGTAAAATCCTCTATAAACGGTGTGTTTCAATGGGATTGTTTTCTTTACAAGGGTGATGTACATAATTTCCATTGCCAGCCTTGGAACCAGAGGTTACATCAAAATACCAGGTGTATCTACCACTACTTCAAGAGTTGGTCAGCGTAGCTGATGATAGCTGAAGCCAACTTTGAGTCTTGGACACTCACCTCCTCTGCCCTCAAGTTGTAGCCTCAAGTGATCTTGATTCCCCAAACAGTGTGTCCACACTGAAGGGTTCTTACAGTAAGTCTAAAGGCCGGTGCTTGAACTGGGTGCTCCATCTGGGCCTGGGCATAAAATGGCTCTTGTGAAACGTCCAAGTGCATTTCGGCTGTGCAGGCTCGCACAAAGTGTGGGCCGCGGCTTTGGTCCGCGGCATTTTGCTTGCAAATTCTCGCACAAAGTGTGGGTCCCGATCTTGGGATCAGTCCTCCTCCCCAACATCCTCCACCTCAACATCACCATCTTCCTCCTCAACATCATCACTCTCAACATCCTCATCTTCCTCCCCCTTGACATCATCATCCTCAACATCATCATCCTCCACCTCATTTTCCGCAACATCATCATCATCATCATCATCATCATCATCATCATCATCATCATCATCATCATCCACCTTATTTTCCGCAAGATTATCATCCTTTTCATAATCCTCCTCAACATGTTCATCCTCAACATCATCATCATCCTCCTTGTCAACATCATCATCATCATCCACCTTATCATCATCCACTTCATCTTCCGCATTATCCTCCTCATCCTCGTCATCATCAACATCATCATCATCCACCTCATCATCCTCAACATCATGGTTCGCAGCATCAACAACATCAACAACATCATGCATTCTCCTCCCACTCCTCCACACTGTTTGGGGTCTCTTGCCGGGATAATTTTGGATAGCTGAATCAAAAGGATGCCTGGCAATAACTCAGCAGTTCTAGCAGTAATCTGAGTACTGTATGCGGGTTAAAATTAATGACTTGCAAAAAACGGATAGGTTCAGAGGATTTCAGATCTTCAAACCGACGCCCATTTGTGGGATTCATCGGCCCCCCAAAGGCTTCAACATCCTCATCCGTAATGTGGACAAAGCGAATCATAAGACACCCAATTGAGACATGGTTTTAAACCATTGTGCCATTGGGGATGGTTAACTATGGATAGGATATCCTATAATCATCCCAACAAACAATATCAAACAATGTAAAAATAAAGACAATTTTACCACCCCCAAGCTTCCCAGAATTTACCACCCCCAACCCCCAGCTCCATCCAGCCCCCCCAAAAAAGGACCAGGAGAACGGCGCCGATTTGAACAACGGCGACACCTTCGGCGAGGATTGGGCGCTCCAGAGCTGGAGCTACGAAGATGCCGTGAGGGCCAACCGACGCCTGGCGCGACGGGCATCCTATCATCCAGCGGCGCAATGGATGGCGCATGATGACAGTGGCTTGATGGGGGTGACGGATGGCTTACGGTGGATGGGTTGATGGAACATATGGAACCGTTGTTGATTTGCAAGGTGTTCGGCCGATATGTTGTACCATGTTGTACCCAGTCTTCCAAGAAACATGTTTTGGGGATGAAGCTGCCCCATAGCAACCGGTGCCTAGCACGGGCAAGGGGCAATCGCAGCCACAAAAAGACTTTGTTATCTGTTGAATTTCGGAAAAGGCTATACATATCTATACATCATTGATAGTTTTTTTTTAATGTTGTCCATGGTTAATCCCACCAGCCAGGTTTGGCGGAATTCTTCCAGCCTCTGGTGTTGCAGTGAGGAGGATTTGGAACCGTCCCTCCAAGCGATTGGAGTTGTGATGGAGCACCCCCCCTGCACAAAGGAAATCCATGGAGAATCTGTCCGTTCAAAGGTCCAGCGACACCTGATGTTGCTGTTTGGGAATCTCATATAGTGAATGTTGACCAGAACTGTTGTTGGATGTTCCGTAACACAGCAACCTGGTAACCTGTGTCCAATTTCCTGGAAGTTCCTTTGCTGCACGTTGCTTCCATGTGATGGTGCTCTTGATTCCTAGGTGCTTAGGGTACAAAGCCCCGGTGCACAGAATTCGATTGTGCATATTGCATGACGCGGTGGACCTTTCACCGTTTCAGACCCAGTACTGACTCCCTCTGGTGTATTGGCAGCCTGGCAGCCTGGTCGGGAGATCCCAAACAGATCGTTTCGGAGTTGCTTCGTACCAGTACTGGGTTAAGCAAAGTTGAATAAACTTTATTCGTTTCAGGTTCCAGCCAAGTTGAGGTGTCATGGTCATCCAAAGCTTCATCCATGCATTCTCTGCCACAGGACCAGGAAATGCTGAAAAATCACAGGAGTTTCAAAAAGAACTGCGTGCGAACTGCGGACCTCTGTGCCCCATGATGTTGCGTTGCTGATGCAAAAATGGATCAACTTGGATTGTGAAGCCTCAGATTGACTTCTGTAAACCAGGGGTGGTAGAGCGAACCACTGATCGGCCGAAAGCTGCTTGAGGTCTCCTCTCTTTCCCTTTCTTTCTCTGACTATGTGTAATGTAGTGTTGTGTTATGTAGTGTAGTGTAGTGGAGTGTAGTGGAGTGTAGTGGAGTGTAGTGGAGTGTAGTGGGTTGTAGTGTAGGGTAATGTAATGTGGTGTAGTTTTGTGTAGTGTAAAGTAATTTAGTGTACTGGAGGAGTGTAGTGGAGTGCAGTGGAGTGTAGTGGCGTGTAGTGGCGTGTAGTGGATGTGGTTGTGTAGTCGTCTTTGTATATGTAGTGGAGTATAGGGTAATGTAATGTCGTGAAGTGTAGTGGAAGGTTGTGAAGTGTAGTGTAATTCGTGTAGTGGGGTGCACTGGATGTATTTGTGTAATCGTAGTTGTAGTTGTTCTTGTGTCGGGGTGTAGTGTAGTGAAGTGAAAATTAAAAGAAGGGGAGTTACGTGTTATGTAGTGAAGTGCAGTGGAAAGTAGTTTAGTGTAATGTAGTGTAGTTGAGTGTGGTGTAATGTAGTGTAGTGTGTGTAGTTGTATAGTTGTAGTTGTAGTGTTGTGTAATGTATTATAGTGTAGTGGAGCGTAGTCTAATGTACTATAACGCAGTAAATCGAACCGTGATTTGAACTTCTAAAAAAGATCCGCACCCTCTATTTTTTTGTACTTCCAAATGTGCTTTACGCTACAAGGGCGTGTAGTGTTTCGAAATTTTATTTTCTAAAGGTGGTTTTACATTGGTGTATTTTCCATATTTTGCCTTGGAAATGTACTTCGCGCTACAACCAGATGTAATTTTAGAAAGTTTTACTTTTTACAAGTGGTCACCCATCAGATCTTGACTTTTTTTAAATGTTCTTCGCGCCACAAGGGCGTGTATTTTTTCATTTCTGATCTCTTCGATTCCTCAGGTCAAGATGCAGAAACAAACTTGGAGACACTCCGTGACCGCACAGGCATGCAGGGGTAGAAAGAACGAGATTCCTTTTCAGAAAAACCCCAAAATACTTCTGAAGATTTCTGAAGATTGAAAGAGGCTAGACAGTTTTCAGCTTTTTGGATGTTGACCTATTTTGATCCTGCAGTTGTCTTTATCAGTTTGAGGATGCAATGGGTCTTGATCAGTCGGAATGGAATTATTTCCCAGGTGCCTTGAACAGTCATCTGTTTTTTTTTCGTGTTCAAATACCTTAAAGTTTGCGTTCCTTTGGCCCGATAATTTATGTGAGTGTGTTATGAGAACTTTGAGAGTGACCCACACGTTCCACCTTCGGCTTTTCGTAGGTTTTCTGCATGGCTTTGTCAACCTCACATGCGCGAGGTCTCAGCTATATTGAATCTGCGGTGGATGTGCCAAGACAGACACTAAGCCTCCAATATTTCTTGATTGAAATCATGCGTTTTGGCCCTGAAAGGGTTTTGTTCTGTTAGTATGTTATGTATATTTAGATATTCTTTAAAATTAACTATTATAAAGCTCACAGTATCAAGTTTTTTCATATGTTTTCTTTTGTTATATATTTGTTTGCTCTCTGAACAGATCTGATTTCTTTTCTGTCTTGTCACAGTTTCCGGTTTGAGTTACCCGGAACGGTGTCATCAAACATGGCTGGAAAATTCCTGAACTACATGGAAATTGAACTGCTGGTAGGATGGGGATATTATGAGGTGGGAAAACCACGGAAATTGGGACAAGGACATTTTCCAGCAAACCATATTTGATGACACCGGCGGGTCAGGGAAAAAATTGGTCTCTTTGGGAAATTGCTGGTGTGTTGAAAAGTAAAACCGGTGCTGAGGCAAACGGGATTGAGATAGTGGGATTGAAAATGATTGTAAAATCCCATGAAAATCCTTGTGGTTTTAGGGGTTGTCTAAAAATGTTGGGGTTTGTATGGGTTTATCATCATTTGTGTCACTAAAATTGCAATAAATTTCGGTCCAAACCCCATTTTCAGAGGCACCCACTTAAAGGTCCGATGATGTCCGATGAAACATGTCCTGATCTTGTATGTTTGCTTTCTGAGGGGTGGCATCATGTGTAATTTGCAAAAGCAATGACGTTTGGCATCTGGGAAAATAGTTAAAACATGTTAAAACATCACCTGGACCCTCCAAATGCCTAGAAAAATGCAGTAATACACACCCATTATTTTTGGTGACGCTTAGCCATTCTTACGAGGGCCTGGAGGTTGCCGTTTTGAATCCTTTGAGGGGCATTGACTCACGGTTGAACAGACCTTGGGCCCCAACCTTTCAGCGCAAGGTCATTGGCGCGAGGCGATTCCAAAGATGGCTCGCAGAGGGATTTAACGAAAAAAATGTCTGCGCCGTCAGGGTGTCTTCATCCCATGGTTCGATGAAGGTGTGTGATTTTTCGAAATTCCAATGGACCATGGGATGAACCTCGGGGAGCTCCTGAGCCAGGCTGACGTTTATCGCCATGGATCTATTCTTGGGGGTCCCTTGTTGTGGAGTATTTAAATATGATCGGGCATGGGATTACTCTAATTTGTTCGACTGACCCAGCAGCTGATCAGCGGGACAAGTGACTTGTTTGCCCTGTGCAGTCAAAGACGTCAATGGAAGATGCTCAGAAATACAGATAGCCTGCCAATCACAACTGGCATTGTTTACAGATTTCAATACTTGGAACATTAGTTTTTCAAGTATATTAGAATTGGTTGAAGTGAGAATCTGCAGGAAACCCTAATATTATTTGGGAGTTAGAACAATGGTTTCAATCGTGTATTTTCCCTTAACTCAGCCCATTGAAAGTAGATGGTAAAGTGTGACAGCGCAAATCGCGCAGGGATCTAGCCGGGATCTAAGACTCTAACTGCCAAGAGTATTTGTTTAAATATAGCAACCCCAAAACAGATATTGACTTTTGATGATTATTGTAAAGTCCTATTCTTAAAACAGTGGTAAAACCAACCACTGTACTCCACTGTATACCTTTTTTGGGGGTTGCTATATGCATTTTGTTGGTGTTTTTCAGTGCGTCCTTTCGCCATGGTGACCCAAGTTGCGGCCGGTTTGCTGCTTGCCTTGACGCCGGCATGGGCGGACCCTTCATGTGTGGTGCATGGCATGGCGTATTCTCAGGAGAGCAGTGACCAAAAACATCCAAAAACCGTGGTTCTTTGGACACAATAGGGGAGTTAACCAC